CCCCGCAGCGAGGTCTCAGTGGGCGTTACTCCCGCCCCAGCGCGCGGGGGTCTGGAGGACGAGGGCGCTACGGCGGCAGGAGGGGGCGGGCGAGAAGGCGACGCGGCCCCTGCTGCTCTCCCCCGCGCCCCGCGGGCCGAGGCTCGGCCGCGCGCCCCCACGAGCGCCTCTGCGATTGGCGGAAAGTTCCTGCGCCATTGGCCGCCTCGACCGCTGCCCCGCCCCGCTGGGCTCGGGGCGCGCTGGGCTCGGGGCGCGCTGGGCTCGGGGCTCCCGGGCGCCGGCGGCCGCTCCTCCGAGGAGCGCTGCAGCTGGGGCGGCAGGTACGAAGCCCGGCGAGGCCGCCTCTGCCCCTCCGGCGCCCCGGGGTCCGAGAACCAGGTGGACGCGGCCGCCGCTGGCTTCGGGGGAGGTTGGGGGCGAGGGGGCCGCGCCGGCGGAGGTCGCGAGCCGCCTCCTCAGCGCCTCCTGCCCTGCGCCCAGCGGCCTGACCCAGGCGCCGGGCAGCGTGCGGTCGCCGTCCGTGGCCCGTTCGGAGGTCGTGGCTCAGGGGCTGTACCCGGCCGGGGCGCTGCGCCCGACCCTGGCCGGCCCTCTTGCTCCAGGCCACGCCGCACCCAGACAGCGGCCGCGCGGCCTCCTTCCGTTCTCGAGGTGCGTGAGGACAGGTGTCCACGACCGCCTCCGCACGCCCGCGCGCTTGGTACTGATGGTGACGGATGGTGGGGGTGGGGACGCGCCGTCTTCCGCACTGGACAGAGGGAGAAACTGAGGCACGAGAGTGAAGCGGGCTGCTAGAGGTGACACAGCCAGTGAGGACAGGTCGGACAGACAGAGAGGGGCGGGCAGTCCCTCAGGACTCCGCTTAGGAAAGGGCTGGCCAGACTCTCGGTCTTCGAGGGCTGGGAAGAGGGAATGAGGGGACAGAATCAAAGCATCCAGCCGGAGCTGTCGGGGGCTCCTTGGTCCAGCCAGTCCAACACAACAGAAGTCCAGCGGGTGCCTGGTCACATGGAGACGCTGCCTTGCCTCCCTGTAGGGCACCAGGCCCAGCTCTTTACTTTCCTGTAGAACGTGGAGCCTGACCCCACAGGGGATGGGGGTCTTTCTGTTCTGCCTCTGGCCCCAGACCAGAGACCCCAAGGTTCACGATAGCATCCTGCCACCCACCCAGGTTGGGCTAGTGTCTTTGGGCCCAAGGCGGCAGCTCTGGGAAGCCACAGGGGTTTCCGCACGCTGGTGCGCACCTGTTAAGGTGGGTGCATCAAAGCGTGCCCCTGGACAACCTCGGCCTGTGCGTAAGTTGTGCCCGCATGTGGGGCACAGCCCCTAGACCCATGTCTGTGGATGCGTCAATGTGCACATGTCACCAACATGCTTTCTTGGGTCCCCAGGTGCCATCAGGCGCCGAGGGGAGGGTCTGGTGGCCTGTCTTGTCCTTCCTGCCTCCAGTGGGGGGGAGGCCTAGGGTGGTCCAGGAGAGGGCAGGACCTACCCTCACCATGTCCCCTTCATGCCAGGTGCCTGCAGGCCCTGCAGTGACCCTGAGCTCCTGCTCGCTGGCCGCCTGCCCCAGCGAATCTTAGCCGTGGGGGGAGTCTGGGGCCCGCCCTCCCCTGCATGCCGCTGGCCAGCGTGTCTCCCCACGGTGATCAGTGGAACTATCCGCGGGGTTGCCCACGACACAGAGCTGCAGGAGTCTGTTACGGAGGACAGACCCTGCCGCTGTACCCGGTGGGGGAGGCTGGAGGCCGGATGCGGGCCTCCACTCACACCCTGCTGCACGGCACCGTCTGGGCCCCTTCCTCTCCGTGGGCTGGAGCCACCTCAGTGAGGCCTGGCTGGGCTATGCGCCTCATATCCAGGAATTCAGCCGTGCCTATGGGGCTGCCCACACCAGCCACCTCCACCCGGGAGGTGGCCCTGGACGGAGGGGCCTGGAAGCAGGGCACTGAGGAGGGCCTGGTCAAGGGGGGCTGGGGGGCTGCCTCCCGGTGGCACCGGCTGCTTGGGAGGGGAGAGTGATGAGAGTAAGAACACGGATTTCCTTAGCCAGCGTGGGTGGTGTCCCGTGCCTGAGCTGGCCCTCGTCCGAGCCACCCCCCCACCGCCCTGCGGGCTGCTCCAATTCCGCCTTCGGAGTAGGACACTGAGGCTCAGGGCAGAGCGCCTTGTCTAAGGCTAACCAGCTAGTGAGTGGGAGAGCGGCCCAGGCCTGCGCCTTGGGGAGGAGCTGCTGCTTGGCTTGTGGGGAAGCGGGGACCCTCCTCTCCGCGTGAGCCTCCGCTCGGCCGCTCCTACCTTCGTCGCCAGGAGCTGTGGGGGTGGGGAAAGTAACCAAGGTCTAAGGCGGCGGGGTCCCTTAGTGGGGGCAGGTGGCAGACACCACTCCCGGCCTGTGAGGGAAGGGGGTGCAGCCCGGCCGCGGGCTGGACTTCTCGTTGCAGTCCCCTGTTCCTGGCCCTGGCCCCGTCCCACCCTCGGGGACAGATGGGCCCCTCCAGGCGTCCGTGCAGGGCATCTCTGTAGAGTCAGGCTTGTTGCTCATTGCTGGAGCGCAGGGGCTCACAGGGGGTCTCTAAGGACCATTATGCCACTGGTCCTGTTGTCGCTGGCTCCGCCTTCTTCCTCGGCCCCAGCCACACAAAAGGCCAGTGCGCTTTGGGACAAAGCCCAGGGCCCTGAGGCTGAGTGGCCCTGGGGTTGGGGTTGCTCAGGGGCTCCTAGACTGGAGACAAGCGGACTCTGTTCACCCCAACCCCACAGTTCCCAAGAGAGCCAAAGCTCAGGTTGTGGGTGTGTGTGTTTGTGTAGGCTCATGGGCTGAGCCCAGGAAGCAGCTTCCCGTCCTTCCCTGCCAGTCTACACTGAGGACGGGCCTGACGGTGAAGGTGGAGGCCAGAGGCTGTGTCGTCTGTTGGGCAGGAACTGAGGCAGGGCCCCTTCCTCCAGATTTGGCTGACGATTATGGGTGGGGGAGGTAGGCTCCTGTGGGTTTCTGCCCACCTGCCCCTCTTGAGGTTCTCTGCTGCTCCCTTCTTCCCAAACCCCCAACCAGGGGTGCTCCGTGCTCAGGCACTGGACCTCTTCTGTTACTATTCCCGCACTGGAGAGCTGGACCTGCCTTGTGGCTTTAAAAACTGTCAGGATGCTGATGATCCCACATGTTGATCTCCAGCCTGGACCTCCTCCCTGCACTGCAGACAGTTACCTCCCTGTCTGCCCCCTTCCCCTCGCCAAAGACTGACTTAGCAAAGATCAGAGGAGGAGGAGGAGAGGAGGGTATGCTCCTGGTCCTCCTCCTCCTGTCCGGAGGTTTTTGTACTGTCCAGACAGGCGCCAAGGATGGCTTCCTCTCTAGGGCTAAGCAGCCCCTCACCGTTGGTGTCTGTCCTTTCTGGTCAGCTCTGCACATCCTTTCATTGGAAGGAGGCTCCTGGCCACACCAGGGGCCACTGTGGACCACCCTTCAGACCACCTGTCTAAGAAATCGAGGGGCAGCTGCTATGGGGTAAGCTCTTGGTTGGACTGCGGTCTCTACGCACCTGCCCTAGGAAGTGCCTGAGCCTCCAGTGCACTCACCCCCTCGGAGAAAGTGCAGAAATGCAGCAAGGGCAGTTGTGGGTGTGGCTAACAGGGCCAGAGAAGCACCAAGTCCTGGGTCAGGGGCTTTGTTCCTGTCTGGAGGAAGGGGCCAGATGGAAATGGTGCAGGTGAGCATGTGTGTGGGGGCCATGGGCTACGGGACCTGGCCCGTGGGGCACTCCCGGGCACGTACACTCACATGGGTACACAGCCAGCTGCCCAGTTCCCCTAAGGCAGAGGAGCAGAGCGTGGGACGGGAACACGGGTGTTGTGGGGTGTGCACGGAGGAGTCGGGTTAGGTGTGTTCATTTGGCCAACAAGCTTTTATTTGGTGCCGGCTCTAGGCACTGGCAATAATGCAAGGAATGAAAGACCCAAAGGAGACAGGATGCTGTGAGCCAGGTGGGGCCACCCCATCTCCCCAGTGCCCAGATCTTGGGAGCAGGGCACTGGGGTTCCCTGCCACCCAGGGACACCTGTCTTTTGGGACTGGTGGCAGCTGGGGCCAAGTACAGGCAGGCCTGTGGGACCGTGTGTAGTTGGGGGTGAGGGTTGACGCCCAGGCCCCTGACCAGAGCCGTGGATGGGTACAATTCCATCACAGTCCTGAGATGCCCGGCCTCGGGGTGGGATGAGGAGGGAGTCCGGCCCTACCACCCCACCCAGGCTCTGTCCCCCCCACCTCGCTCTCCCACCGCAGGCTTTGCCAGGCCACCTCTCGGATCTCAGGTTTTGGGTCACTGTTTGGAGAAGGAAGGTGGACTCCCCCTCTTGGGGCCCTTTCTGGCACCCCTGTGTGTGGGCCAGCTCCCCTCCCGCCACACCCACAGAGAGCCAGCCCCAGCCCGCTCCAGCCCCGGTCACCGCGCTCCGGCCCCCGTCGGCCCCGGCCAGCTCGCTCTGGCCCCGGTCGGCCCCGCGTCTCGGCGGAGCGCCCCCTCCCTCAGACCCCCGCGCCCCCTCCACGCCCCGCGCGCGGACCCAGTCTTCGGCTGCGGGGAGGGGGAGCCGGGGGACTGGCCTTCGGGCTGTGCCGGTGGGCGGACACGCGCCGCCCCGAGCTCCACGGCCGCCAGCGCGGGGCCCGCGGGAACCCCCTTCAGCCGCAGCACCCCGTTTCCCTGGCGCGTGTAGCCCTCTCGGAGGTCGGCGGCCGTGTCGCGTCTCCCTGCGCGGGGACGCGTGGTCCACGGGGTCGCCCTGGGCGCTGGTGGGCTGGCGGCCGCAGGCTTCGAGCGGGACCGGGGCTGGTGGGGAAGGCGGGGGAAGCAGGCTCCGCGGCCCGGAACGCGCAGGAAGGGCCCCGGACCCCGGCCGGAGCGCCAGTGGACGGCCGCTTCCGGCTCCCGCCGAGGCCTCCGCCCCGCCACTTCCGGCGTGGCCTCCCGGGGCCGGCTGGGCGCGGCGGGGCGTGCTGTGAGCTCCCGGCCGGCGCTTGGGGCCGTTGCGGCGGGACGCCCCGGAGCGGCGCGCCGGCGGCCATGGAGCAGGACGACCCGGGCGAGGCGCTGGCGGAGCTGCGCGGGCGGCGGCTGGGCGCGCGGGAGCTGCTGCAGGCGGCGGCGGGCTCGGGCCTGGCCGCCTACGCCGTGTGGGCGCTGCTGCTGCAGCCCGGCTTCCGGCGCGTGCCGCTGCGGCTGCAGGTGCGGCGCGGGCCGGGGCGGGGGCCGGCGGCGCGGGGGGGCCGGGGCTCGCGCTCGGAGACCAGACCGCTGCCTCCCTGCGCAGGTGCCGTACGTGGGCGCGAGCGCGCGGCAGGTGGAGCACGTGCTGTCGCTGCTGCGAGGCCGCCCCGGGAAGACGGTGGACCTGGGCTCTGGCGACGGCAGGATTGTAAGGACTGCGTGCGGGGTGGGGGCCCCCTCGCCGGCGCCCGGCCCGCCTTCGGGTCCCCACAGCCTCCTGTGCCCACAGGTGCTGGCCGCCCACAGGTGTGGCCTCCGCCCGGCGGTGGGCTACGAGCTGAACCCCTGGCTGGTGGGCCTGGCCCGGCTGCACGCGTGGAGGGCGGGCTGTGCCGGCAGCGTCTGCTACCGCCGTGAGGACCTCTGGAAGGTAACCCGGGGAGTCCGGAGCCCGAGACCCCACACCCGGCCTCCACACTTCAGTGCTGGCTTGGCTCGGGAGCTGGCAACCCAGCCACAGGTTCTCCGGCCACCTGCGTGGGCTGGGGCCAGGACTTGGAAGCCACAGTGGCCCCACGCCCACCAGACCTCCTCCTGGCTGGGGCCCTACTCCCTGCCGGGGCCACTTTTTCTTGCAGGTGGACCTGAGGGACTGCCGCAATGTGTCCGTGTTCCTGGCCCCTAGCGTGGTAGGTCTGGGGCTGCCAGCTGCAGGGGAGGCGCAGGACGTCCTCCTGGAATGTGTTAGGCCTGGAGGAGCTGGGCAGGGCGGCTGTGTTCCATCCTGCACTCCACCCCTCCTGCTCTCTCCCACAGCTCCCACGGCTGGAAGACAAGCTGCAGGCAGAGCTGCCCGAAGGGGCCCGAGTGGTGTCAGGGCGCTTCCCCCTCCCCACATGGCAGCCCGTGGCTGTGATGGGTGAGGGTGTGGACTGTGTCTGGGCGTACGATGTCCCGAGGGGCGGGTTGGCTGGTCAGGCGTCCCCACGACCCAGTTCTGCCTCAGCCCCTGGGCCCCCCAGTTCTCAGGCTGGCTGACCATTTGCACACAATAAAGACTCGTGGACTCGTTTGGACTCTTGTTGGGTGAGGCTGGGTGGAGTGACACCCCCCGACCCCGCTCCCACCCAAGGGGGTGCTGTGAGGAGGGCTCCATGCTGGCTGTGAAGAAGAGTTCTGCCCTGAGTCTGACAGCTGGCTAGCGGCTTCAGGTCCTTGGGTGCCGCGGCTTGATGGGTGATGTGGTCCCCACTCCCCAGGCGTCCTGTGTCCCCGTGAGCTTCCTCAGCCTCAGGATCTCCTGTTTGTACCTGCTAGGAGGGGTCCGGGTCAGGCACCGGCCTGGCGGTGCTGTTACCTGGGACCGAGGCCTGCAGGTCACACCCAGCCCACCTGCCAAGGTGCTGGTCCACGTACTCCTGTAGCTCAGAAAGTTGTTCCTCAGCCATTGTGGCCCGGACTAGCAGTTGTGCCCGCTCGCGTTCCAGCTCCGCCTGGCATGGGGAGGGCGTAAGCCACAGGGCCAGACACAGTGTGAAAAGGGCCCCAGCCAGCCTTGCCTCTTACCTGGGTGCCACGGGAGAAGTCCTGGAGCTTCTGGTGGATCTGGGCCCAGGAGGCAGCTTCCTGGCCCCTGTGAGGAGAGAGAGGGACAGGCAGGAGGGCCAGCGTCCTCTCAGGTGTTGACCGATGACCTTGCTCAAGTTGGGACCCTTAGATCCCTGACTTGCCTGCTGGGAGCAAGGTCAGGACAGCATGTGTCCGCGTGTCCACTCAACCCTGTTTGGGACTTTGAGCTGTCCATCGGTACTTGGGGGCAGGGCAACCCAGGCCCAGAGGGCACACCGGCTGCTCACAGAGGGCAAAGCCACATTCTAGGGGTTTATTTCTCAAAACTCTGGGAGATAGGCTGACACAAGCCCTTGTGCATTGCACAGGAACATGGAGGCCCAGAGGCAAGGGCTGTGAAAGTCACCAGGCAACCTGCTTCTGTCCCGTCCACCCCCATCCCGGGCCAGAGCCTCTACTGGCCATCCCCCACACCTCTTCATCCTTAGGTACTCTAGGTCTCACTGCAAGGTGCCTTTCTCCGGGGATCTCCCTGGCCCTCCATTCAATGTTAGCCCCTCTCCTGTCGGGCCCCCCCTTCACCCAGGCATTTGGCTGTCTCCCATACAGACCAAAACCCAAGGGCACAGGTGGGCCACCTTGTTTACTACTGCCACCAAAACCCCACCCAGGGCTTAGAGTTGGGGAATAAATGAATGATCCCCCTGCAGGTCCCCCACTACCCACCCCAGGGTACTCACTGTGGGTCTGTGACCCCCAGGGAGGCTTCACTGGGCCCCTTCTGTAGGAACAAGGGCGGCAGCATGAGCCTGGTGAGCTGTGCTAGGGACTCCCAGTCGGCTGCACGAGGCAGGCTGCTCAGGAATTGGGGTCTTTGCTGAGCCTGTGATGGTCCTGGGGTGTGCTCTGGGGTGCTTGTCCTAAGGCCAGTGTAGGGCAGCAGGGAACGCTCACCTGGGCCTGCAGCTTCCGGAGCTTTGTCTCCTGCCTGGCCTGGTCTTCTGGGTGACCGAGTTTGGTGACCAGGTGCAGAGACCGGGGCTCCAGGTGTAAGGTGGCTGAGTCAAAAGTAACTTTGGGGGTCCCAGATGCTCCACTGGAGTCTGCCAGCACCTGCTGCACACTAAGCCACATGCCAAGTCACATAGGGCCACCCCACCCCGGTGCCCGGCTCAGGGAGGGGCCCACCTGCGGGTCGCCAGCAGCTCCTCGTGTCTACGGCTCAGATCTGACAGGCGCTTGCGGTAGGCACGAGCAGCCCGGGCCAGCTGCTGCTCACGGCTGCGGTGCGCTGCCCGGATGTGCTCCAGAGTGGTCTCCAGGAACGTGCGGAGGGCTGCGGCTGCCGGCTCCTGGCCCGCGCCGTTCGCGTACTCCTAAGGGGAGGGGGCGGGGCGGGGTGGGGCCAGGCCTGGGGAGGGCGGGGCTTGCTGGGCGAACCCCCCCTTCCCATAGCCCGCTCTGGGGAGCGGCCAAGGCAGTGCAGCAGGCAGGGACCCCGGGGTCTCCCGGAAGCAGTCTGGCACGCCCAGGCCAGGCTTGGTCTCCCCAGGACGCGAGGCCTCCCTCACCACAGGGCCACCCCACCCGGTGCTCACGGCCACGGCTCGGGCACATCGCTGCAAGTGGAGGGCATACTCCTCGTTCAGCTTCTTGAGCTGCAGCTGCAGCTGGGCGTTCTCTGCCTCCGCCTGGCGCAGATGGCCTTGGCAGGCAGACAACACCTGGGGGTGGAGGCGGCCTTGAACCCACACTCCGTGAGGTGGGCTTTTGCGGACTGTAGGATGCCACCTGCTAGACCTCAACGTGGGGAGGGCCGGGCCTCACCATGGCTTGTGCTGCTAGTTGCTGCCCCGCCGTCCGGGCCTCTTCTCGGGCTCCCTGCAGCCGCCGGCCCAGGTCTGCCCTGTGGACATGCGTGTGAAGCTTCGCGGGACCCAGGACGGGGGCTCCCCCCGTTCTCGGGAAAAGCCGCTCCGAGCCTGGTGCGGTACTGCGTCCTCCCCGTCCTGCGTGAGGCAGCCACTCACACACGGGTCTCCAGTGCCTGCCTCTGGGCCTTGTGCTCCTCCAGCGCGCGCTTCCATTCTCCCTGCAGGGTGCGCAAGCTCTGGGTTCCTGCACTGCCCAACACCACCCTGGGCTAGGACGGGTCCGGACGGGTCCCCAGGCTAGGTGGCTGCGCACTCACGCTGTCCCCCAGTTTCTGCTGTTCATTCTTGGGGCTCAGGAAGTCCTCAGGCTGTGCCTGTAGGAGAGAGCTGGTCCCAACCTCACTGTCTCTGCTGCACCCCTGCTTGGCTCCCACCCAGCAGGCACTCACGGTGACCTGGGGTCTATGGTGGATGGAGTGTCCCTGCTCCCAGGCCTTGTGTTGGAGCCCCCGTGCCGGCTCCTGGCGGCGCCCCAAGGCAGCCTCTTGGGGGGCTATGCGATCTCCATGCAGCTCCAGCTCCAGCACTCGGCTCTCCAGCCGTAGGACCTGTAGGGTGACCGGGGAGCAGGTGCACTTTCCTGTCAGGCCACCCAGGGTAAGTCAACATCACCAGGGAACATACAGGCACACACAGCACACACGGGAGATGTGGGTATCACAGACACTGCATGAGCGTGTACAATCCCATGAGCATACCTGGACCCCTCACAGCACTGGTCCCAGGTACGCACCCTCCCGCCATGTGCCTGGGCCGGCACATGTGGGCACCTTCCGGCACCCACCTCACTCTTCAGCTCAAAGAGTTCAGCCTCATGCTGCTCCCGCATGTGGTGAGCTGCGATCTGCAGGTCAACCAACTCCTTGGAGATCTGTGGGTGGTCAGGGTAAGAGGCGGTGCCCGGGGGACCGTCCCTCCTGCTAGCTGGCCCCTAGGGCCTCACGCGCACCTGCAGGCACCGCTGCTCACTCAGCTCCAGATCCGAGGGAAGCTCTGTATTGAGGCAGGCTGCCCAGTCCTCTGCTTGGGGCAGAACCTGGGGAGGCATCACCCCCCCATCGCCCACTGTGTCTTAGGCTTGAGCAGTGGCCTCCACTCCCAAGGAGAGCTGCCAGCCATGCACTGCCCCCTCCCCAGTACCCCCTCCACACACAGACTGAGGCCTCTGAGGGGTTAGGGAGGAACCCCGGCGCCATGGCAGAAACAGAAGTGTCTGGAGAGACTCACATTCTCAGTGGCCCCAGGTGGGGGTCTTGGCCTGGGGGCTGTGGCTGCTGCATGCTCCATAGGCAGAAAGGACTCTGGCCTCCCCAAGGGCAGTGCCGCCTTGCCAACCCGCCTGTTGCTGCAACACAGTGGCTTATGTTGCCAAGGCCTCTGCTGGGCCCCTGCTGGTCCCGGGGGTGTCTGGGGCCCCACCCACCAGGGGAGCCAGGGAGGGGCACTCTCGGCTCCTTCCGCATATGGCTACCCATCCTTCACCTGGGAAATGCAGACCGGCGCCTCAGTGTTGACCCTGGGTCCTGATGGAAGCAGGAGTTCATGAGAAGGCCCAGCACAGAATGGAACGACCGCCGCGGTCACTGCTGTACTCGCGCAAGGTGCCCTGCCTTGCTGTGGGCGTTCGCACAGTAGGCACCTTCTGTGTGCCCACTGCTGCTGGCTGGGCGCTGGGATGGGCAGGTGAACAAACTGGACAGATTCCTCCGCCCCCAGCCTGAGGGAAGGGGCCGCAGACGTTCCAGTCGAGGGACTGGGGGACTCAGGAGGACGGGCTCAGCCCCGGCGCCCGGAGGGCTTCCTGGAGGCGGCGCCCGAGCGCCGGGCGCTGCGGCCCCCGACGTGCGTGCGGCCCCCATCGGGCACGCGCGCGCCCGCGCACGCGCTCTCCCTACGCCGGGGGCACGGGCCATGGCGGCGGCCGGGCCGAGCGCCGCGCTCCGTTAAGGCGCCGTGGCCAGTGCCCGAGGCCCGTCTCTGTCCGGTAGTCTTTGAGGCGGTCCGCGCAGTCAGCCTGTGCGGGTAAGGAAACGGTTCGGGACCCGTGTTAGCGCCGCGGCGGGAGGGGGGCGGGCCGGGCCGGGGCGGGCCTGGGGGCGTGGCCTAGGCTCGACGCGCGGAGCGGCGGAGGGGGCGTGGTTGGAGGGGGCGCGCCGGGCGGTTGCGTCGTCGCGAGGGGCGGGGCCTTCGCCGCTGCGGGCTGCTGTGGCGGCCGCGGTGGCGGCGCAGTCGTTGTGGTCGCTGCCGCTGGCCGGCTGGCGTGCGAACTGGCCGGCCCGGCCTGAGCCTGGGGCGTGGGCTTCCGCACCGGAGCTCCGGGAAGTCCGCGGAGCAGCGAGCGGGCTCCCTTTCCGGCCCCCGATGTGTGTGAGGAGCTGACCCCTCCCTCGCGCAGCCCTGCCTCGGTCTGGAGAGGGGAGCCCCCGCCCTGAGGAAGGGGTTCGGAAGCCTGGGGGCCTCTCGACGAGAAGACGCGGGGTGCCTGAGCTCTGCGACCATGAAGGTCAAGGTCATCCCGGTGCTCGAGGATAACTACATGTACCTGGTCATCGAGGAGCACACGCGGGAGGCTGTGGCCGTGGACGTGGCCGTGCCCAAGAGGGTGAGGGCAGCCTGTGGGCGGCGGGGAGCGCCGCTGGGGTCCCCCGACCACCGTGGCTGGAGCAGGCCCTTCCCCTGCTCTCTGATCTCTGGGCGCATGGCGATTACGGTTCCCGGATTATCTCGGGGCTGCCCTGAAGTTACGACCGTCTCCGACCCCCGTTTTTCCCCTCCCTGGTGCCTCACCGTTGTCCTACGCCCTGGGCGCTCAGTCATTGTCTGCTGGGTCTCCCGTACCTCCACGCCCCCCGAGACCCCGGGACTCTGTGTACATCACACTTGGCGCCCTAATTGGGGGACAGAGGGGTGGGGCGGCCACTGGGCCCTTCCAAATCTGCCTAACTCCCGTCCCTTTCAGCTGCTGGAGATCGTGGGCCGGGAGGGGGTATCACTGACCACCGTGCTGACCACCCACCACCACTGGTGAGCGCGGTCGGGGCGGGCCGAAGCGCGAGGGCATCGCCCCTGCTCCACCCCGACCCAGGCGTGATCCTGCTCCCACCCGTCCGCAGGGACCACGCTCGGGGTAACGCGGAGCTGGCGCGGCTGCGGCCGGGACTGGCCGTGCTGGGCGCGGATGAGCGCATCTGCGCGCTGACCCGCAGGCTGGTGCACGGCGAGGAGCTGCGGGTGAGCGCGCGCCCGGGAGGGCGGGGAATCGCCTTGGGCCCTCCCGCCTCACCAGCAGCCCGCCCCTCTGCCGCAGTTTGGGGCCATCCACGTGCGCTGTCTCCTGACGCCAGGCCACACCTCTGGCCACATGAGCTACTTTCTGTGGGAAGAAGAATGTCCGGATCCACCCGCGGTGTTCTCGGGTACTGGCTGCCCCGTCCCACCATCCCCCGCCTGCCTGTGACCCTGCCCCACCTTCTCTGACCTGCTGTCCTCCTCAGGGGATGCCCTGTCGGTGGCGGGTTGCGGCTTGCGCCTGGAGAGCACAGCTCAGCAGATGTATGAGAGCCTGACGGAGACCTTGGGCAGTCTGCCGCCCGAGACGGTGAGTGGCCTTCCCTTCCCCTCCTGCAGGGTCCTGTCACCCTGCACAACCCGCACACTCTGACCCTGACTGGTGCCATGGGGATGCAGAACGAGCACTCCAGCCAAGGAGCCTGGGCAGACCAGGCGTGGGGTGCGAGAATGCGGGGAGGGGCCAGGCAAGCCCAGGTGAGCGCCTCCCCCCATCTCTGCCTGTGGCAGCGCTGTGCACCCCCTGAGTGCCTCCTTTCTCCAGAAGGTGTTCTGTGGCCATGAACACACACTGGGCAACCTTGAGTTTGCACAGAAAGTGGAGCCTGGCAATGACCACGTGAGAGCAAAGCTGTCATGGGCCAAGGTGCGGCCACCCCACCTTCTCTCCTCCTAGAGGTTTGGAGGGTGGACAAAGGTTGGGGCAGAGGAGGGGGTCTAGAGAAGAGTCAGACATGACCAGACCTGGCTTAGCCCAGGGTCCACCATTGACTGAGGCTCCTACTGGATAGGGGAGGAGTAGGTGGCTTTGGATGGGGGCCTGTGCAGTTGGTGGTGGGGTGGCCGTCCTCGAGGAGCTGATGAGGCGAGGAAGCCCTTCTTCTGCTCCCGCCCCCAGAGAGGAGCAGGGCTGAGTGAAGCCAAGTTGCTTGGGGCTCTCAAGATAGGGCTGTGACAGGGGCCTGTGGTCATTCCAGAAGAGGGACGAGGACGACCTTCCCACAGTGCCATCCACCCTGAGCGAGGAGCTCCTCTACAACCCCTTCCTAAGGGTGGCGTGAGTACTGGTTGGCGTCCCCAGCCTTCTTGTGGGGCCCTGTGCCCTCCCCAGGGGCTGCACCCCAGAGCAGGGTGTCCCGTGGCTGGCCTACTGTCCTTTGGTCCCCTTTAGCGTCATCTGGGTACTGCAGGAGGTGCCAGGGGACTGGTTATTGGGCTGACTGGCACCAGGGAGTGGCTGCTCTTTAAGTGTTTCCTGCCAACACCCCCTGGCATTTCCCCAACAGTCTCCCCACGGCGTCCCCTCTCCCTACAGAGAGGAGCCTGTGCGCAAGTTCACGGGGAAGGCGGCCCCAGCTGAGGTCCTGGAGGCACTTTGCAAGGAGCGGGCGAGCTTCCAGCGGGCGGCTGAGCCGCTGCAGCCGCAGGCCCGGGCTCTCCTGGCCCTGCAGTGGGGGCTCCTGGGCACACCTCGACAGAAGTGAGCCCCAGGAGGACCGGCTGTGGGGCCAGGTAGCACGTCTCTCCTCCTTCACCCCTTGGCCGACTGAGCCCATGGGAGGATTGCCTCTGGCACCTTCCATAGCCCTGCCCAGCTGGCTGTCCAGACTTGGAGAGTGGGCACCCTGGCACTGGACATGTGAGGCTCCTCTCTGGGGTGCGTGTGAGCCCCGAGGCCTGGGTGTTTGGGATGCGTGCTGGGGTGCACAGGGCTTCTGAACTTTGAATAAAGCTGTGGAAGGGTTCATTTTTGATGCTGGTGGATGCTCTTGGACATGGAAGCGTTTTCAGAGAGATCCCTTTATTAGATGAGGAGCTCTGTGACAACATGCCAGGCGGTCTCACCCCACTCTGTCCTCTCCCCCACCCCTGTCAGTGGGGACCCAGCTGTGCAGATGGGACTCAGCGCCTGATCTCATGGGGTCTAACAGAGCCTGCTTCCTGCCCGGAACCGGAGAAATGCAAGCTGTCCGGTCCCAGAGACCACGGCATCCTCAACGCCCAGTTCCAGGTGGGGCAGGTACGCCACCCCCAGCGTGGGGTGCTGCGGGCCGCGCGCTCCTCTCTGGCCAGCGTTCCCTGCCATCCGGGGCCGTAGGGCTCTCCACCAGTCTGGCATGGATGACTCCAGGAATGGGGAGGAGAAATCCCACTTTCACTCTGCCTTAAGCTGCCCACGGGCCTGGGCCTTACCTGGGTCTCCAGGCAGCAGAGAGAACACTGATCGCAGACCTGGGCCCACAGGGAGGTTCTGGGACCTCGTGGAACCTCTGACATCCTGCGATGGGGAGTGTGGGTGAGGGCGGGCTGGAGGTCCCCTTGACCGGCTCTGGGTCCGGAGTCTCATTTCTGTGTGGGTTCCAGCCCATCCCTTCCGCTCAGTCAGGGTTTTGGGCTGGGGTCTCAGGACATGAGCTTCGTGGGAGTCCCAGTACTGGTTAGGCAGGCCCGGCAGCCCCGTGAGGAGGCAGCCTACCACCTGATGCTGAGGCCAGAGCTGGCCGTCTCCACCGCGCGGTAGCTCGTGTGCAGCAGGCGGCCAGCCCGCTCTGAGCCCTCGCCCTGCAGCCAGCGCTCGTACAGTTCCTGGACGCCAGGCACGTCCTCTGGCACCTGCGTCGTCACCGCGTCGTACAGCATCTGCACGTGCTGGAGCAGCTCCTTGCTGGCTGTGCCGGGGGCCTTGAGCTGGCCTCCGCCGTTCAAGCAGCCTGTCGCAGAGCAGGGCAGGCGAGAACACGGTCACGGGATGATGCCTGCACACGGGGCGTACAGCCCAGCCCCTTCCCACACTGGCTCTCCTGAGCCTCCGGGCCGCCCAGGCCGGGGAAGAGACGGAGCTCCCCCCTGTCACCCCTCCCACAGCCCTGAAAAGGGCTCCCGCGCCGCAGCTACCTGCGGGGCAGGCCATGACCTCCACGTAATGGTACGGGCAGCGCCCCCGCTTCAGCTTCTGCACCAGGTTCTGGATGTTGCGGAAGCCGTAAACGGCGGCAAAGTGCAGCAGGACGCGGCCCTCTTTCTCCAGGGTCACCTCCTGGAAGTCCTTGTTCCTGAGGGGAGCACAGGCTGGGCTCCCTCCTGCCTCCCACCCCTGTGGGCACATGGGCCACCCCGACCGGCTCCTCCGTGGAGGACGGTGACGGAAGGGAAGGGTGGGAAGCTCACTTTGCTTGGTGTCCCGAACCTCAGGATGGGAACCCCCTCCCTCCTGACGATGGCCACCAACCTGGCGAGGTCAGACAGCCCCCAGCCCCCGGCTATGGAAGAGGGC